CGAAGTCTACACAATTGTAACCTACTGCAAGCACTGAATATCTTTATGATATTTTACATTAACAACTGTTTAAAATAAGATACCAGGATCATATCTTTCACGTATGAGGCTATGATCCACACTTCTTGTGTGAGGAATGGTGATTCTGTCTTATATTCAGGTCAAAGTAGGAGGGGTGGGACTCGAGTCTGGGGACGCGAACACTGGGAAAAAAGGTGCCTCAGTGTTCAGTGGGCCACACATCCCAGCGCCTTAACCGTAAAAAATAAATTTAAAAATACTTCAATATGTCCAGTGAAATAAACACACACAAGAAGCACAGACCACATTTATATATAGGAATCTATAGTGTGTCTGGGTTATTTTAGAAATTAAAAAGTGGTATGCATAGACATTTAGTGAATGATTAATTTGTAACCTGAAACAACAGTAGTATTGTCCACTAAACACATACGTAAAAATGTGCCAGTGAGAGAGATAGATAGTAACAGCATAGAATTTAGTAACCTCGTCTACACACCACTGAAGTTGTTATACTTTGCATACATTAGATAAGGAGGGAAATCAATAAAAGAGAAAGCATACGTAGGATGATTAAAATAGTGATACCAAACACAAAGAAGCGCTGAAAACAAAAAGACAAGATTAAACAAAGACATGAAATGAAAGGTCTAGAATATTGGATATCTGGAGATAGATATTATGCAGATTTATTCACACCATGGAAGCAAGTCAACTGCGTTTTCTGTTCGTTTATTTAAATTGCTTTAATAGCTATAATTAGGAGGTTGAAGTACTTAACTCGAGCTAAAACAACAGTTAAAAGCTATGTTCTAAGGTGGTCAGTTTGGATTTGTTTTTTATTCTTTTACTACTCAAGTTGACATATTAGTAATAGTAATAGGATATACGTATTTAATAGGAATATGTATAACACACACACGCACACAATGAGAAATGTAGTTATAGCAACTAATATGTGCTTTTTTGCTTGGCAGCATACATGTAACACTGACCAGTTAATGGTTTTGTCAGGCACAGCAAATGTGCGTCAAATATTCTAATGATTGAATACACATGATTTTCGCTAGCCTCTATTACTTTCTAACATGTTAGCTTCATATAGGGAACACTGTCTATATCTATATGTAGAACTAATTTTGGTAGAAGGAAAAAGATACTTTCAAAGGATATTCGACTTCAAAGATCAAAAATATCTTAAAGTTACTGTTCATAAAAAAGGCTTGTTTACTCTAAAATTCGTCGAATAAGACAAAAGCTAGTGTAAGAATAATGTAGCTCTTTTGCTGTATGTACATTTCTTCAATATACTGGATTCTTTAGTTATCAAGGTGTATCATGTATTGCTTACTTGATTCCATCAGTAAATTTTGGAGGTTTGTCAGCAAACTTGGTGACTCACCACTGGCGAGAAGCCATGAACTCAAGTTTTGCGGTTAATGGCACTCTTCAGCATAACTACGAAGAAAGTGATGTCTAATGTGAAGGCGTTGGTACCTCAGTGGTAGAATACTCGCTAAGCACGGACATGGTCCGGAGTTCGACACCCCAGCCAACGCACTCCTAAGCCTCGATTAGCCAGTCAGCAGTAGGTGCGATAGAGAAGGAAGGTTGAGCATGGGGCCATCAACCCCACCCCGCAAAAAAAAGAAAAAAATAACACCATTGCTAATATAACTCCAAATCCCAAGCTTGAAAGCTCTAGGTTCCAATCGAAATACAAAGGGGTCAAAAATAAAACGTGAAAGCTTATAAAATTATTTGATTTCTTAGGATGTGGGAGGAGATATCAGTCCAGGAGATAAAGGTCGAATGATTCAATCCAATAAGAGAGGAGTAATGAATTCTTTTTTGGGGAATTAGCATTGTCTACGTCAGAAGACTATGAATACTCATGCAGTCATAAACTATATCACGAACCTCCCCTTTTCTCTTTGTTTAACACACTGTCACTTCAGTTTGCATCAAGTTGAAGGATATGTCGCATTTGCGATTGCTTACAAATTAATTTTTTAGTGTATTTTCACTATTACATAGATTTGAGTTTCAGTCAAGAAAACTGTCATCCACCCACTGTCGGTCGATACAGGTACATCAAAACTGAAAAGTCCCAACTAAGATGAAATAACAACCCAAACACAACACGTTAACCTTAAGGTGTCGTTAATTCATTCATACTAAAAACCGGTAGTATGTCAACAAACTTTGAACATTTCCGACTAATAAAATCAATCAATGGGAAATGCCGATTGACAACTGCAACAACTAAAAGAATTAATGCACTTTTGTGAAAGATTCTCATATGCATATTTTTCCCTTCATATTAAGAAGAAGAAAAAAATTTTCTAACACTTTCATACAAAAAAACGATGTTTATTCTCAGTAAATATATGCTTTGAAAACTAATTGGATAACCTTATAATACTTTTCAAGAATCTAGAAACTAGGTTGAAAGTACAAACAAAAACGTATTCTCTTGAGTGAGAGAGAGACAAAGAGAACATAGTTGACAACAAACTTAATAGTGTTTGATAGTTGAAAAATTTTTCTTTATTCTGATGATTTTGGTATATCTCAAGACAAATAAGATTGATGAGAATTTGGAGCGTCCAAGTTGTACAGTGTTTTTTTTTTCAGAGTGCAAACAAGAAATTATAGTCAAAGTATAGGCCAATCAGGAAGATGATTAAATGTTGATGTGATCGAAGTACGCTGGCAGATTCATTAATCATCTCCACACATAAAAATTAGTTTAATTGTAGATTGTATCTTGATAAAGTCAAAACTAAATGTATTGAACAATCACACTGTACACACATAAACATAAACATAGTAAACAACCCTTCTGGTTGAACTAAAATAAGCACATATATGCACACTGAGGCTACACCACTTCCTCTTGAAACGTCGATGTATTGATTTCGGTCGTCAGCAGAGCATTGATAAAAACAGCTTAGAGGACATTCACATTTTGAGTAACAAGAATTTTTTGACAGCATAGATTTCAATTCCGGTCAACTTATGCTGCAGCAATCACAGAAGTTACTGCTAAACTATTCGAGCCAAATTTAATATTATTAAATTTACTGAATATGACACACATGGGTAGAGAATCCTATTGTATTAGAACTGCTTCGATTACTAAATCAACTAGATAGTCCAAAAATTGTAACATTTAATCAAACAACAAGCATTAAACTTCACTCTTGTGAAGAGCTCCAATGCCATTCTTCATACTAATAAGATATGATGAAGGCAATCATTTATTTACTAAAGTTATTTATTTTGCCCTACAGGAAACTGAATATACATATATATCTATAGATAATTTTCGTTGTCACATAAATTAAATGGAATTATACACTAAGAAGGAAAACTACCCTAATTGATGTTCTTCTGTTATTTATTTCCCAAGTTACGAAAATGAACACGCGCACATACAAATATACGCGAGCAAGCATAGAACGCTCGCTTAGTCGATTACTTTTTATCTAAGTCACTTGGTTTCCTTAACAAAAAAATACTGATAAGAAAAGCTGTTTGTAGAAAAACACAAAAGAGTATATATATATATATATATATAAACACAGATGTATCACATTTATTCTATCTATTATTTCCACATGTTAGCACCGGCTATTAACTACATTTAATCTAATGCTAATTTCCTACACTACTGGTCATTAAGTGAGTAGTATCTGTAATATGATACGTATGTACACATGAATACGATTTAGCATTATAATAACCTACAACCCGGTTTTCCGCGCGATCAACAAATCACTATCAGTATGGCTGCGTGGTGAGAAGCAAAAAAAACCTCTGCACAAGTAAATGTAAGAAAGGAGTAGACTGCATCGCTTTTAAAACAATTTTGGTGCTGAACACAAGTATATCAGTAACCATATACCAAACATAGAAACGTCTCATAAAATTGTCTGAGAACATCTGAATGATAATTTCAGTTAATCAATTACTTTATTTAGATTGAGTGCTACATTGGAAGAAGTATGTACCTAAGAAGATTGATTGAAATCCATTCTCTTTTAGAAACACTTTCTGTAAATTAATGTTCAATTGTGGTATTTATGCTACATAGTATTGCGTCCACAGCAGGTGTTTGAACCGTAATTACATTCTAAATAATTTTATAATAATTCAATCAGACGTACTTCATAGGTCCAATCAGAAGTTTTTAACAATTATCGCCTTGATAGTTTTCTAACACATCTATCTGAAAACACTCAGCTTACTTAAAGCCCAAGAAAGACTTATTCAAATTTTCACACACAGCCCATTATGCGATCACATTTTTGTGCTTATTGAACCTAAGTAGCAACCAAAAGTGACTTAAATATCTTCCCAAATATTGACGGGTGAAATCTGTTTTCAGGACAATATGATGACAAGTCGAAGGCTTAAGCCAATATGCTACGGTTCCACTGATAAAGTATAGTCCAATTTTTTGAAACTGCTTTTATTGCATTCACTTAAAAAGATAAGACACTAGAACTAAGATATAAAGGCAGAATCATGTCATCATATTCGGAACCGCTTATAAGATACTGAGCGACTATTATATGAAACATACCATGTCAAGTATGAGTATTTCAATCACAGCTCATATTTGTCAGTCATTTTATCTGCTGCAACATAGTGATCCAAGTGGTTGAAACTTACCGGAGATTGACATTGAGCTCCTGTAATTATTCCTTAGTTTAGACTAAAAGGTAGTGGAAACTGGAATATAATAATCTTCACTCATTAATATAAAATGGTTCTCCAAAGGCATATGAGTCTCTTCAGCTTCTGAGTAAATCTTTCTGACAGGCAACGGCAAAAAATTTCGATTCATCACTAACTGACAACTAATCTCAACAATCCAAAACGTTATATACTTTAACATGGTCATTTTCGGTGGAATCTGATTTTCAAAATGTATTCTACTATAAGTAAAATAATTCTTTAATTCTACGTACTTCATATTCAGAGGCTAATTCTGCATACGATGGAGTGTTATTTTCAGTTGAACAAGGAATCGAATAGTATTCACCTTCTTCTTGACTTAAAAGTTTAAACCAACAGTCAACAGGCTTTTTAATTAATTCAGTAACTCCAAATGATAGAGCACCCATGAAATCGTCACGTGATGTACGATCCCAATCCCAAACTTCAAAATGAAGGCGCTTTGATTCATCATCTGGGCGCAGATCACTAAAATAAATAAATTATAAACAACAAAACAGCAAATAATTTGATTGGAGGGGTATGTGTATCATTAAAATGGAAATTAATGGAACCAGTATGTATAAATGATCAACATACAACATATTGGAGAAATTATCTCTTCAGATGTATGTATCAATCCTGGCAAGAATTTATGACACCAAGCAGAACTTATAAAATTTTCATCTTATTGAGTCATTTGCAAAATACATAACTTCAATTTTAAGTAAGTAAAAAGACCGAACTGTATTACTTCAGGCTGCTATTGTTAATCGCACTTATTAGGTAATTCAAAATACGACATATACCCAGATGCAATTCAGAATACGCCCTAGTAAAACAAATAAATATATATCCCTTTAAAAAAGTATAATTGTAACTAATATGCATCAAACCATAAAATAATCTTTTTATTAGTTATAAATATTGCGTAAAACGTCTTCTGACTAAATTGACAAATTATTTGTCACTTGTTAGTATGTATTACGGTGAGTAATAAACCCTATATCCGTTTTTCTACCAAATGGCTAAATTTCGACTTGGCGACAAGCAGTAAGAAAATTGAAGCTGAAATGTTGGCATACACGTTTGCACAAACAAATATACTAGACAATGAAGTTTTCATCGAGGTTCAAGAAAAATTCCACCCACAGATGTAAAGTGGGATAAAATGCTTCCTTTAAAACCAAATGTAATTCAATGAGTGATCGTAAAATCCCATTAAAACTTCGAGGAAATATGTGCTGCTTGCACTTGATAAGTTGTTAGTCTTACATACGCTTGTATTTCAAACAACTTCCTGTGAGAAGAAAAACCATAATGAACTCAAATATTGACCAAATTATATAACTCGAAATTAAAGTTTAATAAAACTACTGAGTGTATATAAAGTCAAAACGATCTATTACTTACATAGTAAATTTTTCATCCCAAATAGGATTGAGATTAGACTTTACTGTTTTAGTTTTAAATTTACGTCCAAGATCATCGTTAGGTCCAAATTTGATCTTGACATAAGGATCTGCAAGACCATTAGGATCCATGGGAATGAGATTTTTCCCCTCTTTAACTAAACAGAAGAATATAGAATGAAGGAACTAACTGAATTTACTTATTTATTCTTAAGTGTTGTGTCCTGCAAACAAATTAGTACTTAAAGTCATATTCAAGAATGGAGTATAAAACTAGTTTAAATTTCTATTGAAGCTGATGGTATTTCTAACCTCAATTTTTCCTAAAGTTAACTCTAAAATGCATGAGATAGTCCTACTTTTTAAAATGTAAGCATCCTCGGCTTCAACCAGGTCGAAATAGATGTTTTTAATAACTTGGAGGATTTACCTGATGCACTAAAATACAAGGAAAAACATTTAAACTAGTGTATGCATGGACAGTCAACTTGAACCAGACAGCCAATATCCGAATAACAGTGTAATTTTTAATTTGAATCAACAAATATTGGTATTTGGTCTTCAAAAAGTTACTTCTATATAGTTGATAGTTTATTAGCATATCTTTAATGTCGATTAGCTTTAGTAGCTGATTGTGCAAGATCTATGACGTTACTGTCTATGACACTGAACGACTAGTGTATGCAAACTAACACAATACAACCTCATCAGCACTTTTCACTCCACAAATATCAAAGCAAAAAAAATAATTTGGAGGTTTAACAGTTCATTCCCCTTCATTTGTAGTTGGCAGAACACATTTTAGATTTTATTAACAACCTGATGTCATGGAAACAAATTCACTGCGTCACAAACAACAAACGGAACAAATTAATTCTGATATAAATAAAGGAAGTGGGCCCAAAACACAAACTCAATTGACTTTTACCGGTATTTAGTATCAATACTTCGGTTAATCTTCATGTGTAGCGAATTGTTTTTGACTTCATTACCTTTATTTTAGTAATGAACACTGGTGGTAGGTACAGATCAAATAGAAACAAATTATTTATTGTATATCTGTCGAGTGATGTGCTTACTTTATTTAATTTTCGACACGCAAAGGTAGTGTCACTAGGAGACCAGTAGAATTTCTTTCCGTCAGTGAATGAATAAAGCTCTTGAATGTAGCATTAATTAAAAATAAAAATTTTGTATTTTAGATATCAAATAGTCATGTCTCTCAACACAGCGGAAAGTGACTAACCCCAAAATGATTAATTAGAATAAACTTGAAACACAGTCACTCATTAACTCATGTTGCAATTTCTGAGCAAAAGTCTATACGTTGGTATTATTAAAAATTTAACCCTATAAGAGAATATTTAGAAAACAAACTGAGCTCACAAAGAAAAGTGCTGGTGGGACATTTCATACGTATTAGTTAAGAATATTTAAAAGTTACGTGAGACAGTCACTCAACATTTCAAAAGCCCCATGAAGAATCATGAGCTTTTGAAGGATCTACTGTTAATAAGATCTAAAGTGTAAATTTCAATCACATTTACATTAACGAATAGTTATTTCAAATTAAAGCTCACCTTCAACAAGAAATTTAGATTCTTGCCAGCTGATTTTGAGGTATATACGCCCTCGCCGTTCGGTGTGATCAACCCCACAAAGACGTGGAACATTTGTCTCACATCTTTTGTGGACATTCATATCACAATCTGGAAATATAACAAAAGATCATGAACGTACTTTGGCATTTCAGACCCTGTTGAACAAGTCCATAGAGCAGAGAACCACAATGATCACAAAAAGTGGGGCTGGAGTAGGTGTGAGTTCTAAATTTATGACACTTTTTCGCCTACAACAGAAATGAAAACAAACAAGCATTACATCACATTCGGGTCCTAGATCAGCTCCAGGACATTTAAATGCTACAAACTGGTGACACCTTTTATGAGCAGCAAAGCAACATATTTGACACTGAACACCTTGTTTACCAAGACCCCTGAAAAATATAAGTCTGAAGAAAGTCTGTTACCATATAAAATCCTTGCAATGTCCACAAAACGTGAATTGTTTGAAGAACTTAGCAACAAATTTATGACCTTTGACTTCTGTAACATTTTTCTGTCGCAACGCTCCGCGGCGTGCAATTATATTGGGGCCATGATGAATATTTTCTATATCCAGTGTCATTTAGTTCACAATGTGCAGATAGCCCAAGGTCACTTCGAGTATTTGATAAGCGATCCCAATTTGAGGTTATTCATTTGATACAAAGTAACAAACTACAAACAAATTATATTCGATTAGTGTAAAATTGCACACTTCTTCGGAATTACATCTAGATGGCTTAGTTACCAAACTTTGAACAGAACCTTAAGGTTTACAGTTAAGCTAAGTTAGTTCAAAGAACTTAATTATTGACCTATGCCACACTTATGATTGTGCAAATTATTTGATGTTCACAACGGTAGTGTGAACGGAAGAACCTAATGGAGGGAGGAAATGCATGCGCCGTTTTACTGGTAAGGTAGGAATAAACACATTTCACTGTTTCTTATGAGCATCCTACCATCTCGATGATCAGATATCTGTAGCATTTATTTTAATCAGTTGCAGTAGTGACTCTTAGTTATGCAGATTTATTTGGTTAGGAATTTCAATTATATTGTTTGTAGTATGTTAAAACCGAGATGCCAGTGTGATGAAGCTGATACTATCAACAGTAAGCCATCTAGTGTAGTCGAAAAGAAACAAAATTACACATAAAAGACAGAATCAGTGCACATTACTTAGGCATAGAAGGAAAAGCAAAGTGAAAACGGGTAGCTAATGAAATCTGAAACTGATGTTTATGTATACATATAATGTATACATCTGAATATATGTCAAAAGTAATATTAGTGTAGAGAAAAAAAATAGTTGGATTGGTCAGAAGAGTGAATGTGAAGGTGAGTCCAGGTGTATACCCATTATTAGTGTGTGATTTTATGCGGATAGGCCGTTCATATGAAGTCCTTATGTCGCTGCATGGCTGTCAAGTCTCCGTTTAAAGCTTTGGACTGACGGTATATCTGCCAGTAGGGGGTTTAAGGGTAGAAAAACCCAAATTGGAAACAAGTGGACGCTTACGCCTTTGATTGTAGGCGGGCTATCCTTTGTTGATTGCCACGAGGAAGCCAATACGTACTTAATGGAAGCATATCTATGCTCTGGTGATTATAGTATTCTAATGTATGTATTCTAATTAGCAATAATTAAACCAGCCCCAGGCTGGCGATAGCTAAGTGTGAAAGGACCTCTCTTTTTCAGCAGTCTTTCATATGATTTACTTCTGAGACCCATTACCTCTTTTGTTTCCCGTCTTTGGATTTTTTCAAAAGGTTACCGGTTCTTCTAAGAACCGAGGCAGCATTGATATTTCGCGCTTCAATATGTAGTCTCACTTATATTTTGTATAGCTCAAGTGTGAGCGCACCTGACTGTCTATGCCCATGTTATTCATGCTTGTGTCCATTTAATCCGTAAGAATTTGAACTAAATTGCGCCATGACGTTGTGCAGGAAAAATTTTTTGTTACCTACATCCTGCAGCCTATAGGTGCTTAGTTGCACTTTAGAGGATCATAGAAGCTCGTAAACTCAACTGAACGTTTTCACCGTCAATGATCAGTTTGTTTATCCGTGCGGATTCAAACAAAATATGGTTTTAAAGAGACAGGAGGTCGGCAGCTTCGCTGCGGTGTGATTATCTGCTTGTGTACCCCCCTTCAAATCATTGTCAATAAATATATCTTTCAGCAGTCGCAAGTGGTATATTCTCCTTTCGCTAGTTGGGGTGGACAAGGCCAAAATGTCGGCAGGTAGTGTGGCTATCTTTCGCGTCTGGCAGGATTGATAGCCACACATCAACTGTGAGTGTTATTTCCAGTAGAAACCGACTGGAAAAGAGATCAAAGTCCTTCAAGCATCTTAACTAACTGGTACCTCAGAGCACGACTCTGTACTTTTTTTACTCTGTACTTTTCATGCCAAAAGTGACAACATTGATCATTGCCAACTCTTCTGAAGTTTTAAGGTCAGCCTGCAGCCTGTGTGATTCTACGGAGCACTTTATTATTGTCAGTGTAAAGAAGAACTGGGAGGTATAGACGGTATGGCAGATCGTTGACAAAAACTAAAGACTTCAGTACCCCTAGGATGGAATCGTGAGAAGTTCCTGATGACTAACCATGCCAAGATGGTTGGATGAGATTGATCTTGGTGCAGAAATCCCTTTCATCTCGGTGGTCCTTTAACCAGAACAGATGCGGCCCACCTAAAACTGCTGGATTTATTTTGTGTACTATGTCAAATATCTTCCGAAAATCAAGGAAGATCATATGTACTAGAACACAGATATCTCTGCAAGATGTCCAATCATTCCAGGCTGATAGTAGGTCAGTCAGACAGGATTTACCCCTCCTCGAACTATGTTGTTCCTCTTGTGCCGTGTTGTCCGGTCAAGATTTTCCCTGATGTTTTTCATCCATTAGAATTTCCAGTACTTTTGACACCACTTGGAGTAGTGCTGCTGTTTTCTCCTTAGATGCATGACCCTTGGCAGGTAAATTTTCTCCCCGACATGAATCAATGCAGCTAGATTAGCCTAATATGACCCCCTGACATTGTTAACTCTTGTGTCACATAGGTTGCAGGTATGCATCGTGGTCAGTGTGACTATCGGAGATTCTCCACGTTGACCAAGCCTTCCGCCCAAGGTCCTTACTCCTGGGTAGTATCTGGTTGTATTCTGCTCCACAGGAGTGTGATCAGTAGATGTTACCCAATAAGTGCTTGGTGTCGTCGACTGTGAAATGACACCAAATTGAGTCTAGCAGTTCCGCAAGTGGTGATGACGCAGCACCTACGTATTAAAGCGGCTTGTCAAGGAATGTGGCAGTGCCCCCCTTTTTGTTGTCTGTAAGCCGCCTGAACAAACCCATCTCCCTTATTTCGACTTCATTGTCGGCAATAGTAGGGAATAGACAGGTCTCAATCAAAATTATTATTTTGAGGTGTAGGTGTGACTCGGGGTTTCTGAGTTATCCTGTTTTCCCCCACTCCTCCTACACTGCTACACATGCAGCTTACGGTGACTTCATCACCTCAGAGTGTTCTAGGGTAGTTGACACCATGCAGGCTACTGGTAGAGGATCTTATGTTTGAACTGGTTGGTCGGTTCCGATAGAACCAACCTGTTATCTTACAAGTTTCTTGCTTATGTGCTCTTAAGTTCATGATAGAAATATAACTGTATACATTGTCACTACGAAAATAGTGAAAATGTGCAGTAACCGCGCTACTTATTTTCCAAGAACATACATCAGCAAGCCAAAGAAATGTGGAGACAGTGTCATTCGAGTAAGGAAATCCCAATACCCATTTAAATGTATAAGGAACAGAATTATATTATCAAACAGTCTCTACTAAGCTCTGTCCGAAAGTTTACGCTGCAAAATGTGGGCTTGTTCTTTGCAGGCAGCAAAAGTCATTGCTCATGTTTTTAGGTAGTGGGATAAAGGCCAAAGAAACGGACTGTAATGTTAAATCTATGCCTGGCATATTCTAGTAACTTGACTCTAATTAACATCCTCATTATAACGAAACTAGAATATGGATAACAGGCCAGAAAATGGGAATTCTCATCAATCCAGTTAACATATAACGCAATTTCATTGAAAATTATTGACAAAAAAAAATTTCCAAGGGAAATTTTAACAGCGCTACTAGAACATGGCATTTAACGTCTACCGTGTTGAATGCATAACGCCTAATTTATGTTTCTCGATCTAAAAGTATTGCCTGTTCATTCACAACGAACCCTCAGTGGGTAAGAAGCATGAAGTTAAGGGCGTGCAATGAACCATTCTGGGAGTACACGTATCTGAATACGCTCTTAACTATACTGAACGCTGTTAAGTACAGAGACAGTTTAAACTAAAGCTAATCTTTTAGTACAAGCTATTTAATCATCCCTCCATGCTTCTAATTAAATTTACCCTCAGGAATCAGTTATAACCCTAGAAACCACAACAATCAGATTGTTTTAGGGAATTGCCCTAACGACTTCTCACTGAATGAGCTGAAATGGCCTGCCAGTTAGCGTGTGTAAAATAATCATTTCCAGCCTTCACCCTCTAACACATCAGACTCCTTAAATGAAAATAAAAATGTTCGCTAGCTAGCTTCAACCCCATCATTTTCACCCAGCATCGGTATGTCTATGTATTAATTTTCCAAAGTACAATTTAGGTTGAAAAAACAAAACGACTTAGCATCCAAATGTATTTTATGCTTCTCACGCTGAATTATCTTCCTGGTTTCTGGCCCTTCGGTTCTTCTAACTTAAATATCCAATTGTCGGTATTATTTTCCATACCTCAATAAAGAAACTGACTACACGGCGATTTACGGCAGCACGCAGTATTTGTATATTGTAAAAAAATCAGCGTACCTCACCGTCAAAAATCTCTTTATGATGTTTCATATGCAGCCATATATTACAACGTATACTTCATAAGTTATGGGGAGTTACTTCTAATCATAGTTATAACATGACGGCAGAAGATAAAGGAATTGTTAATAAACCTCTGTTTGGGAAAATCACTTCATATTTATGCACTTTTAGCCAAATTTAAATTCCAATAGGTCAGCGGACAATAAACTGTCTTTATTGGCTATTTTCGTTTTCAGCAGCTGCGTCTCTCACAGGCTGTTTTAAATCCCAATAGTTACAAATATACAAAATCTTGGTTAGAGAGATGCAACCTGGCAAAACGCTTTCCTACGAAATATTAAAACTATCAGCTTACCTTCCCTAATACTAACTCGTCTCAAACAATTTGCACAACGATGGACATATCCATCAGTCGACCTGCTAAAGCTTTTTAAACTCATCACACCACCACACGCACAAATCCTCTCCATTCTAAGCAACCCTAAATCCAGGCAATACTGCTAAACAACATCCTCCTCGAACTGCAACCGTAACTTCATTAGAGCATGCATTTGAAACGAACCAAGCGCTATACAACATTGAACTCACGTTCGTGAATCTCATTGGACAATTCGAAGTTGTTCGCTCATTGGTAGTTAGTGGTGCTTAAAGTTTGACTTGGCCATGGTTTGGTTTTTGAGATTTACTTGCTCCGTTAGACCTTCTGGGAGAGCATACATCCTAGTAGGGCGGACTACTGCGATTCGT